TAATGGCTTCAGTGACAGGGCGCTGTCCTAGATGGACACCTCAAGTTCTGTTAAGCTGCTGCATGTTTCTGCTCTTAGCACCACGCAGATAGGACTGCGACAACTTAGTGCACATGCATTCAGATCCCCCCACACCCCCACCTGAAATGACCATACACCAGCAGATCCTTAAAAATTTATTGAAGGTAATGTAAGATGAAACCATAGGTGGTATAAGAAAGAAAACACAAAGAACCCTTGCATAGATCACAGACCATGCCTTTGTCGTCTTCTGACAAACTGAACACACTGTAGCATAATCCTTGGTAAACACAAATATGACAATGATGGCTGGATTGGATAACACAGTTGGAGTTTTCGCTTGCTTGTGGGTGAAAAGAAGAGCAGGAGAGTTCAACAGTCCTTCAGTGCTTTGCTCCAAAAAGCCCCCGGCTTCTCTACCAGCAGCTAAATGTGCATTCTTGACAGGAAATACAAACTCATGGCCGTCACACTTCTAATGCAAACAAGAACTTTTTCGAGCAAGATGTGCAACATCCCGAAACATTCAGTCCCATTAAGATGCTCCTCAGCAGGCAAAATAATAGTTCAGCATCAAGACATTCTGATAACCAAGAGCGCCTTGACGTCTGTGGAGAGGATAGTCTGTGGCACGGGCCCTGCTGAGACATGATGGACAGGTTTTTCTACAACACAGTATCACCTCAGTCTGGAGTGAGATAAGGGTGGCCTGAATGTCACTTGGAAGAGCATTTCAGTCCTGGCACAGAGTCTAAGAAACTAGCCCTTGTTGTCCTTGCTCACATTCAGAGCCCAGCAAGCTCAAACTGAGCATCCCAGAGACGGCCAGCTGGGCTCAGACACCAGCTGTCGTCCCCGCGATGCGGCCAGTGCTAAGGTGCTTTAAGAAATCCAGCAAAGGACATGTTTCACGACGACTCCCGAACATGGCCTCACAGGAAGCCTGGGTGCAGATGAAAGCAAGGGTTTCTCTTTTGAAACAATGCAACTGTATTATTGTTGATCCGCAGCTTGAAAGGCAAAGCTCATGCAGTCGTCCATCGCCCATGCAGTTTTTTTTCTTGGTTTTTTTTTTTTGCGATCAGTAGGTTTCTGTAGAAATACATTGTAGCAGAGGGTTTCAGCAGAAGAATTAGGGAAAACAACCGTGACCAGGAACAGATCCTGCTTTTTGTTCTCCGTCTTGAAAGCAAAAACACAAATCAAGTGTGTTTATTAGAGTCCGTATCATAGTGTGTAATAAGTGATCTTGTACAGTAGTTTCCTTTTCATGGCTTGCTGGAGGAACATTGTTTTTATATTCCAGTGTAAGGCATGTTTGTCCGAAATAAATCATGTCACAATGCCACCAGAGACAAACAAAACAAAAAAAGAGAAAATAACACACATTAAGCTTGTTTTCCTTACATAACTGCAGTATATAGTAGTTGTTTATCCTCTATTCTATTGTATCTAAACAGCGCTGTGTTTCGTTACTTTTTATTTTTATTTTTCTTAGTTGTATTAATGTTGTCTTTTTTAGATATCTATACGTATAGTTGCAGAAGCATATCTAAAACTGAGCTAAATAATAAATAAGTAAAACTATTTAGGCAACTTCTCTATTATCTATTCACTAACAGCTGATCATACTCTGATGAACTGCAGTCAGACTCTCTTTTGTTGGGTTCATAAAACCCGTTAGCAGCTTTTGTTCCAACCCAAAACTTTTTTTTACATGGTTTTCTCTGACGTTACATTATGTCTATACTTCTAACCCCACTAATTTTATAAAATCCCAGAACAAGCTATCAGAAGTGGGTACATGAGCAGCCCTGCTGTGACTATCTGACGAGTAATAGTAGTGTCTGACACAATACATGTGTTTTTGCCTTTTTAGAATAATTTAAAAAATCTTATGAACATGTTGTTATTCTATTGCTGTTAAGAATGCACATTTCTGTTGGGTAAATGAATGCATAGCACCATCCACACATGCCCTCACTACTAACATGAGGAGTATCGTTTTCTATTTTCATCAGGCTGCCCTCACCATTATCTTCAAAAACACTGAGCGATATAAGAAACATGAGGCCAAATCAAACAATTTCCTGATAGTTGAGTTCAATATTATTATCACATCCTTGTATCATTCCATACATAGCATTGTGATTCATGCTACTTGGTACTTAGATGTCTCACTAAGGAAAAGGCCATGACAAGTTGAATGACATCCTTTTTTGCACTTGTGATAAGTTACTGACACATAGCATGTTCACTTTGCCTGAGGCAGATACTCTTCAGAAGTACAGTACAAAGATCGATTCCAAACGAAATGACAGAGAGTTCTCTAAACTAACCAACCAGCTACCAATGAATTAAACATTTGGAAGATAAATCATCAAAACAGCTGGGGAAAACAATCGTGCTTTCACTTTAGATGACGTGTCATGGTCACGACAACAGCTTTAGTCCTGTATGAGCACCACAGAGGATGGCCGTTGCACCAACAGAGACAGCTATGACATTCAAGTAGCACTGCAGTGGAGCTTTTTTTTTCTACGGGATCTTGTCAGGAAAGTACTAACTAATAACTCTCTTTAATAAAAAAAGAGGAGCATACAGTACAATACAAAATCTTACCATCATTTGGATTCATTTTTCCTAGTGTATGGTGAAGATCAATGTACAGTAATGGGAGATTTTCAAGTAGTTGTTACATTTTGTCCCAATTTATCTGCACTTCCCCTGCAATATGCTGAGAAACGATACATGAAAATGTTCAAGCACAGTGGAAAAAAAAATGCAAGTAAGAAAAATAGTTCAAGCGACAAAATGAAGCAGTTGTGCAAAACGATGGGCTGCATTTTAGAGTGCATGATACGGCCCTGGTACTGCAATACGACAGATTGAATTACTATAGATCTCAATTTTCTGTTATATTTCTACACAGATGTTCTCCTGTGAAACCCCTCTAACTTGACGTGGCACTGTTTTATATAGACAGTCATGGAGGGTCAAGTCATCTTTACAAATGAATGTCCTGATTGTGCGCAGCTTTAAGTGAAAAAAGGAGAGAGATTGTGGTACACTACTTGGCCTACATGTAAGTGCTTGTGTAAAGGCTATGCTTTGGGACTCTCACATTCAATATTGCATGAGTGCAGTTTACACTTAAGGTTCTATTTTGCATTATGGGATAGGAAGCCCTGCATCATTGAAACTTGCAGCTCTGCAGCAAGTTTGCAATGACCTCACTGAGGTAGAGACCCTGAAAGGATGCATGGTGCCCAAAGGAAAAGGACAGACTTCAACAACAAAATCTTTGACAACCAGAGGACATTCCTTTTTAGGCTGGAATGGTAATCATGCAAAGTACAATACATTGCTGCTTAAGGGCGTAATTAAGTGCGTGACAGCATGAAAACTAGGTTGTGCATGACAACATAGAACTTTTTTTTGTTGTTCGTTTTCTGGCCATAGTCACCTGCTCTTTGAACATTACTTGTTGGCTTCACTACCATCACACTCAACAGTGCTGCACTTTTAGACCGGCTCTGCTCAACTACACACACAAAAAAAAAAAAAAAAAAACACTGCACACCGAGGCACTTTCACTGGTCCTGTTGGTGGAAGGGAAAAAGGCACTGGCAACTAATATCTGAATAATCCTCACAAATATGGAATTTGGTATTGATCGTTTTCAATGAATTCAAAACCAATTTGTATTAAAATTAGAGGTGGAGATGGAAGCATGACTGACAATATGTTTACTTTTCTTGATCAAAGAAGGTCCATGCACTGCACTATTGGCTAATTCTGTAACTGGTGCTTATTATGATTATATGCATTTTTTATATTATTCATTTAGTTTATGTGCCTACTTTTAAGATTAGAAACTTTGCATCTTCAAGATGGATTTGGATATATTTGATGACAATTCATAAACACCCAGATTTTTTATTTCCTCAGTTTCCCTGACGATAGGGCACTGCAGAGTGATTGAATTGCAACAAGCTGTATACTCGTGTCATGCATTAGATATACCAGGATACAAAAGTACCTTAGTGGATAGGCCATAATGCAGGTTACTTTTTTTTCATGCTATGATCTCATTTATGTACTGTCCCCTTAAGATTTTAACATTCAGTTTCTATACTTCTAAATGAGTAACATTTCAAATTAAAAAGTCGTCCAGTGCACTCAGTATGAAAACATATGAGAAGGGGGAGATGAAGGCAGATATCCAAAAGAACATCTTTCTAGTATGTGACATATGTCTCATGCATGCCGATATCAAAATGGAAAGTCTCTAAATCATGCTCGTGTGAAGCTCACTTTTATCATTGTGCTGTGTTGCATCTAAAGGGCATGGCATTGAATCACTTGGTGATAACACAATTACGGCAACTGCTGGAAAACAGCAGCACTGCAGATGTCCGTGAGGCAAGCAGATCACCATCTGTTTACATCCAAAGAAGAGAGATCAGTCTTCCTTCCATAAGGTGCTTCGCTGAGTACAAGATCCTTTGCAGGGGTGAGAGGAGGGAGGAGGGTGGGTGGTGAGGAGGTCATCTAACTTCTTGGCGGTTACCACTTGGCTGCAGAGGCTTGCATGTCTGCAGTCGCTTCTGGTGCATTGTGCAACTTGCTGAAATGTTATCTGTTCTCCATGCATAAGAATTTAATTGTCGAGCTGTCATCTGATAAGACAGGGTATGCTCTGTGTCCTCTAGGGAGCCTTGTATATGTGTAATAATGGATGTTTTGTCTTTGTCGTAAGTATATAATTGTTGGATCCGCAGAATGAATAATTCTATCTACATGGCATATACTTTAACAGCTTTGTTTTTTTTCTGTTTCCTTTCTGTAGAGTTGAGCATAGTTGTAGGCCTACTGCCATAGAGTGCTTTGGGTAGTTAAACGAAGCATTCCTAATGGATGGTCTACTCCAGATTTGACAGTCCAGTAGAGTTGTTTAAGTTACTAACTGGCGTCTAAACATCCGTGAGTAGCTTGCTTTTATTTACACAGTTTTGATTGGCTATAGTGCAATTGCCAGTTCTAAGGTTAGCCTCCCTAAAATTGTCAATGCTATTGTTGATGTCTCCATCGATCTCCATGTACTCGGACTTGCTGACGGTAGAGGAGCTACGGCGGCTGGAGTTGGTTTCAGAGGGGATGTTTGGATTGCTGACGTTGAGCAGCTGGGCCTGCTCCTCTCCTTCGGTCTCCCTGTGGTAAAAGTAGTTGAAGTTGGACACAATGACAGGCACTGGGAGTGCAATCGTCAACACTCCAGCAATGGCACACAGAGATCCTACAATCTTGCCCCCAATAGTGACCGGGACCATGTCCCCATAGCCCACAGTTGTCATGGATACAACAGCCCACCAGAACGCATCTGGGATGCTGCCAAAGTAAGATCCTTGCTCTTCCGCCTCAGCAAAGTAGACAGCACTGGAGAACAGGATGACTCCAATGAACAGAAAGAAGATCAACAATCCCAGCTCTCGCATGCTGGCCTTGAGGGTCTGCCCCAGAATCTGAAGTCCTTTGGAGTGTCGTGACAATTTGAAGATCCTAAACACCCTGACCAGACGGATAACCCTGAGTATTGCTAGAGATGTCGCTTGCTCCCCCACCCCCTCGGTTTCCGGGTCTTCAGCCAGCTCAGTGCCAAGTGTGATGAAATAAGGGATGATGGCCACAATGTCAATAGTGTTCATCATGTTCTTGAAGAAGGCTGGTTTGCTTGGACATGCCAGGAAACGTACAATCAACTCAAAGGAGAACCAGATTATACAGAGAGTCTCAATGACAAAGAAGGGGTCAGTGAGAATATTTGGTTTATAATAAATAGTAATGTTCCCCACTCTCTCGAAACGACCCATTGGGTCCTCCTTCAGCTGTGGTAGTGTCTCTAGACAAAATATGACTATTGAAATGAGAATTACCATCACAGACACAATGGCAATCCCTCTTGCTGTGCCTGAGCTTTCAGGGTGCTCAAAGAGGAGCCAGATCTGACGCTGAAACTCCTTCTCAGGTAAAGGACGCTCTTCCTCCCTGATGAAACCCTCATCCTCACGGAATCTCTCCATCGCATCCACTCCCAGCTCATAAAACTTGATTTCTTCGGAGAACATATCCAAAGGGACATTCACTGGCCTTCTCAGTCGCCCCCCAGACTGGTAGTAGTACAGGATGGCATCAAAGCTGGGGCGGTTTCTGTCAAAGAAGTACTCATTTCTCAGAGGGTCAAAGTACCTCATCCGTTTTTTGGGGTTTCCCAGCAACGTCTCCGGAAACTGCGAGAGAGTCTTTAACTGTGTTTCAAATCGGAGGCCGGCTATGTTGATGACCACCCTCTCGCAGCACTCGTGGTCATTGTGGTCCGGGGGGTAGGTGTCCTGCGGGTGGCCCGGGACAGCCGAGGTCTCGTCCATATTATCCCCTGCTACTACAGTCATTTTGGAAAGAGGAGGGCGATGTGAAAGAGGAAAATGAGGAATTTGGTCGGGGTGTCGGTTAGTCTGACTGAGCGGGCATTCAGGATTGGGAGAAAATTTCCACTCCTCAGCTTCCCACACCCCTCAGATTGTTGGAGGCGTCCCCAGTTGCAAGGGGGGTGGTTGGCTGCTCTGCCTCAGTGCGGCTCCACTGCGGCTCTCGCTGACTTGACCATTGCTGCTCTCCGGTGCATCTGCAGCAGTTGCTGCTGCTGCTTCTGTCACCCAAAGAGAGAGGGAGGGAAAAGGGAAGGGAGGGTGGGAATAATGGAATCAAACAGCCAAGATATTTGCTAGCTCAGCATTTCTTGCAGTTAATTTATCTACTTATTTACATCTCGTGGGCAGCAATTAGTGGAGACATCCATCAGATAAAATTATCCCCTTTCTCCCCACCTTATTTAAGACCTTTTAATTTAGTTTTGTTTTGTAAGCACTAAAAATTGTTCTCTAGTGATCATTATGGAGTTTTTCATGACCTTTATGTTATTTTACAGATTCTCCTAAAAGCGATCGTAACTCTTATGCCATATGGTCCATTTTTGTGTGAGTTTCAGTTTATAAGACAGATGGTTCTGTCTTAAAGGAGCATGGCAGCAGTTCTGCTACAGCCAACATCCTGAGCCTGAGTTGTATTGACGCATAGCACTTTACACTGGTATTGTTTCTGCTCATGTTTCTAGAAGCATGTAGCTCACAGGCCTAATGGCAATTTCCAAAAGGAAGAGAAAAAATGAGACACCTCCACAGCAGTGGTGCAGCATATTAACATACATTAATGTCACAGTAAAATGAATTACCATATTGTATAAGTCAGCAATTTCAGGTGCTTACCATGGCTTGATCTTGAGAGGTCTTGAATGCGTCCTAGCCCCCAGTAAAATCATCCAGCAGCAGGGTACCGGCAGATGTCAGGTGGAAACTTTGCGTTGCACCTACCAAATAAAGACTCCAGAGCCTTACTGTTCTCACCGCCACCTAAAGTCTACCGCAAAAGCTGTGGACCAAACGAAAATCAGATGAGTCTATCGAGGAGAGCCTCTGATGGAAATGGAGCGAAAAGAGAGGATTGTTGAGCTGCAGAGTCGGTAGTTGCTTGCGCGGCTGCACGGTGGTGAGTAGAGCTTACAGTATCTACCGCAGGAGAGAAAATCTTGCGCTGCAAATCGGGGGGAGATACATTAAGGAGCAGTAAGCGAGCCCCTGACATTTCTAGACATCACTGCATCAGCAGAAATCAATTTGCCACCAGTCAAGATGACGAGTAGCATGTGTCTCAGAGCAGGACGATGAGCACGATTTTTAAGGGGGGGTGGGGGGGAAGGAAATTCGTGAAGGATTGCTGAGAAATAGAGAAGTAGCAGCGACGTCCGAGTGGTTTCTCAACAGTGTGAAGCATGTTTTGCTGTGCATTTCACATGCAAGTGCAGGGGAGGCGAAGGAAAAGGCAGGAGGGGAGAGGGAGGGCAGCAGCAGGAGGAGGAGTTGGAGGGTTTCGACGCAATGCAGACCGGCTATACTAAAGGACGCCGCCACAAGTTCCTCATACACCACAAAAACAGGAGCGCTTGTGTGCCAGCACTGGCGCAATCAGACTGCAAAGATAGACAGATCCTCTGAAGCAAGTCTGTCATATCTACAATCATCTATAACTTGATGAACCAGCGGGAAACGTAAACGTTTCCATTCTGGCATTCATTAAAAGGTTTCAGGCAGTAGTTTGGGTTGTTTCACCTCATCCAAACTTGCTATTTTTAACATACATTTAAAAACGAATGGCCAAAAATGTAAATACTAACTGTGCCTTAAAATACGTGGAGTAGTACGTTTAATTATTTTTGTGTCCCGGCTGGGCACGTCTCACACCCATAATCTGCTTCTTTGTGATACTGGCTTAATTAAAATAGCTTCTCAGTGTGTAGTCATTGTTGCAGCGGGAACCCAGGAGACAAGCAAAACGCTGGAAATTTGGCAAAACAATCAGGAGAGGATGGATGACTTTCAGCACCACGGACAGCGCAGAATGTCGATTCCTCTCAGAAAAGGACAAATTACCCAAACAATCATGAGGGCTTACTCGGCTGATAATAAACAATTTGTCATTCTCAGCTACTGATGTGCATGTTTGTGCGCAGTTTTTCTTCCCACAAAACAGAGGCGAGTAGACCTGAGTCAAAACCTCCTCTAAAACAATGCAAATAGCTAATTTACTAAAATGTGCAAATCAAAGAAGCAGGCCTTCCATCCATTTATCACTTAGACACTCTATTAAGTTAATTGCTTTTATGCCAGTAGAGGCTGATGTCTGCTTCTCTGCCTTTTCCAGCAATCAGCAACAAAATTATGATAAAGTCTATTGAACTTATTTGTTAGTTCATTTCTTACTCTATTCCAAATAGATTAACCTGCTCTCTGATTCCGATCTCCTTGACGAAACAATGAAAACTGACGAGTGGTATGTTATTCATAATTCATTTATAAAAAATGGTTCAGTTCACGGGAACGTTTAGATTAAAAAAATAAATCATTTTATTACAATTAAAGTACACAGTGAATACATGCCATGCAGAGGAGCATTATGCTGTTTACAGGGGACTGCAATGGAACCTGAAGATTTGCAACAACAAAAAAGAGCAAGTCACTGTTTCATCATAACATAAAAGGTTGCGTTAGAAGGAAGAAAGTAAGAATAACAAAATATATACACCAGCTTTTTTTTTTTTTTTTTTACAATTTAATTTACAAAGCCAACGCAATAGAATGTTGCTGTTGTTTTTCAGCGGATGTCATGCGCGCACATAGTCTGTTCCTCTGCAGGGTTAAACACTGGCAATGCAACAGATATCCGTGAGAAAGTGATCCAGTATTTTGGAGAAGAAGAGAACGCCACCCTCGGATCTCGCTGTGACGCTGAGCAGACAGCAGGCTTCACTTAGTCGCCTGCTTCCTGCAAGTAAGCAGAAAACATAGCCCGCTGTGTTAGCAGTGGAAGCCGATTGGCCTTATAGTTTACTAGCACAATTATCTGTGAACAAGTAGAAACGTGATCTCGTCCGCTTGGCCTTAAATCTGTCAAGGCCAGCTGCAACAGTGCAAAGATGCTGGGGCTTAAAGTGTGCATTTTCTGCCGTCTGCAGAGGGATTCATCATCCACACAGTGGCGCTCAGAGCTCACTTTTCTGTCAGCTCTGATCAGCCTCTCACCGGTGAACGTTGTGGACTCTGACTGAAGAAGGGACAGAATAGTTTTATTCTAGTTTGAATTTCAATTCGGATTTTTCAGTCATACTCCCATTACAGATGGATAAAAAATGGACACTTTCATTCCGGTGTAAATTCGTTTTGGTTTTATATTTTAGCTTTTTCTTTTTCTTTCCAAATTCACAAAAGCTGTACCGTAATATAAAAATATAGGCATCGGCTGTGGAAACTGTGTGTGTTGTGCGAGTGCGACCACTCTCAAGAAGTTCAGAATCGAAATGTCGTGGACAGCTCTTGTTTGTAACTCTGGAAAAAAGGAGAATGTTGGACTATAAAGTGAGACTTGCAGGTTTTGAAGATAGATCATGCCCTTGTACTGTGTCTTGTGCACAATCAAGCAGCCTGTCAGTAAATCAGAACGCTTGGCCTCGGTGCGTCATGGTTAAAAGCCCCCGTTATTCTACAATTTATTAAACAAGCGAGTCATTTACGTGGTGATAATTACATGTGACTGGATTGCACCTTGTTCGTTTATTGCGTTTAAAAGTGTAGTCACTGAAACGTCCCAAGTGTTTTCAAGAAACCTGTAGCGTAATGTAGCTCAACCTATACAGTAATTGGTTTTGGGTGTGGTTTGCTTGTGGAAAGTCAGCAGAGATTTGCCTTAATAGGATTTTAGAGACACCCCTAACGTGTTTTATACATATTTGAAAATTATCTTATTTTAATTATTTGAATTTCTTTGTTACAATCATTGTCCTTATAAATAAAATAAAATAAAAGATTGATCTAAATACATTTCACACACACGCACATTTCTCAGCATGTAAAAAACGCCCTCAACTCTCAACCTGCACCCTCACTCCAAGCATTTCACATGTCATATAACACCACGGAGAGACACGCCTGATATTTAACACCGTAAAATGACTCACAGAAACCTTAAAATGTGCAGACATGACATGCACATTATCCCCAGAGTTGGCCCGCTAATAATACCCGCTGCCATGATGTCATGTAGTTCTAACAATATCTTCAGTGTGTGAGAGTGAGTGAAGCTGAATGAGTGAGAAGGAATGCTGTTTTTTACGTGGCATATTACAAGTTTAAGATTAATTTTCCTTTTTGTTGTTGTTTTTTTGTTTTGTTTTTTGCTCAAGTCTTCACGTTTAGGAATGAGAGGACCTATGCAAGATACTCACCAGAAAAAAAGTCGCCCACTTTACACATCTGTAAGTTTCCCTGTGTATACCTCTGGCTCATTTTTATGGGTCAGAGTCTCCAATTCGTCGCTCTCCTGATAGGAGTCCGTTTTGGAGAGCGACTGGATACTTTTGATTGAGTCACTGTAACATATTGAGGGCTGGCGTTCCTGCTGCCCACAAGTCACGTGGACGTACTGAACATTTTCCTCCTCTTCGTTCTCTCTGTGGTAGAAGTAGTTGAAATTGGAAACGATCACGGGAACAGGTAAAGCTATGGACAGCACTCCGGCGATTGCGCACAAGGATCCGACGAATTTGCCCCAGATGGTGGATGGACACATGTCTCCATAGCCGACTGTGGTCATTGTCACCACAGCCCACCAAAAGGCATCGGGAATACTAGTAAATCCAGTGTCGGGATCTTCCGCCTCGGCAAAATAAACTGAACTGGAGAATAAAACCACTCCAATGAGCAGGAAAAATATCAGCAGTCCCAGCTCTCTGAGGCTAGCCTTAAGCGTTTGGCCGAGAATCTGCAGGCCTTTGGAGTGTCTAGACAGTTTAAAAATCCTGAAAACACGGACTAGACGAATGACCCTTAGTATGGCCAGAGAGGCGGCCTGCTGGCTGCTTCCCTGATGCTCTGCCAGATCAAGGCCAAGGGTGATGAAATACGGCGCTATGGCCACTATATCAATGAGGTTCATGATGTTTTTAAAGAAAACTGCTTTACTGGGACAGGTTAAAAACCTCATGGTGAATTCAAAAGAGAACCACACAATACAAAGTGTCTCCACCATGAAAAACGGATCCGTGAACGGGCTGGGCTCTTTTCCCTGCGCGCTCCCGTTGGGGTGCTTGTCAGGCACTGGGGGGACCTCTCTGAACTCGGGTAGCGTCTCCAAGCAGAATATAACGATGGATATCAAAATGACCATCACTGACACGATAGCAATCATCCGCGCGGGTCCTGAGCTCTCTGGATACTCGAACAGGAGCCACAGCTGGCGCTGGCACGCGTTTGGAGGCAGCGGGCGCTCCTCCTCTCTCGTCAGCCCCTCGTCCTCTTTGAAACTTTCTATGACCTCTCTTTCGAGCTCATAAAACTTTATTTCCTCCAGAAAAATATCCACGGGCACGCTCACCGGCCTCCTAAGCCTCCCTCCTGACTGGTAATAGTACAGAACGGCGTCAAAACTCGGTCTGTTCCTGTCAAAGAAGTACTCGTTCCTGAGGGGGTCAAAGAAGCGCATCCTTTTGCGCGGGTCTCCCAGGAGCGTGGTCGGGAAGCGCGAGAGGGTCTTGAGCTGCGTCTCGAACCGCAGGCCGCTGATGTTGATGACCACCCTCTCGCTGCACTCCTGGTCCGCTTGCTCCAGGTCAGCAGCATCTTGCAACGACGGAGTGACCACCACAGTCTCCTCGCGATTGTCCTGGGACACCACAGTCATCTTTTTACCCCTCTAAGGGGAAATCCGCCCCTCACCTCCTCGGTTCCCTTCCTCTTGCCCTTTTTGCCGGTGCGTCCTGCTATCTCCCTCTCTCACGCAGCCCCCCGACACTGGGAAACAAAGCCGGCCCCTCCTTGGCTCCGCAGCAGTGGTGTTGATGTCCCAAATCGTTTAACTGTTGTTCACTCACACCGCCGTCTTTTGTCAGATTAGTGCCGGCGAGCTGTCAGCTTTCTGTGGAGTACTCAGATCTCCACTTGCATAAGAGATAGCAGCGGCTCCAGAAGGCTATCATATTCTAGCCATTTTAAACTCCAAAGCCCTCCCCGTGTTGGAAGACCAGGTGACACTTGTTGCTGTCGCTGCTGCCCCTCTCATGCTCCTGCAGGGAAACCTCCAAAACATGCATCCACCCAATCAGTTTCTGAAATCAAACAGTTAAATGATGTTTCTTTAAAATGCTCTGTTTCCACGTCCTTTGCTTCATTTTGCTCAGAAGCTGCAGGTCATTTCCAGACCCGGAGCCTCCTGAGGAATGGAGTCCGTCACCCTACAGGGCTTTCATTCATGAAATCATGGTTATTTCTGTCACAAGGGGAGCCTCTGGGACCCACACTGTCTGTTTTGGGCCACAGCTCCCCATTTAAGAAACCAAGAGTAGCCGACAGATGTAAGAAACATATGGCTTATGCCTGTTGAACAGAGTCCAGATTTATTTTTTTATTTTTTCTGCAGCCGCATATTGGATGTGTCTTGAAATGAATAAGATGAAATAACCTAAATGCTCGGCAGCCCAGAGCCTCGTATAACCAGGGCCCATCACAGCCTGGGCCAGTGGAAACTGCTGCCTTGACTGACACCTGAGTAGCCAGAGGGGATAGTGCCTTCAGGAAGCTACAGCCAAAATAACATTCACAGTCACTTGCACTTAAAGGTCTCAGTTGTAAAACTTTGAACACATGAAGTAGCCTCAGAGGAGAGAGAGGGAGGGTTCTATTCAAAACAACTTCAGAATCTGCTGTCTTTTATAGTTTCATTCTTATTTTTTTTTAAAGGACATGAATTATGAGTCAAATATGAAGTTTTTGGACTTGGTGCCACCTGCTGCTAATGCATTAGCATCTAGCATGCACCAAATGTCTGTCTTGGTTAGGCACAGGTGTCAGGTCTTGACCGTATCCAAGGAAACAAACAACAACAAACAAGCTGGGAGACTGACACGTGACTCTTACAGTGTAAATCAGTCAGATCAAAAGGATGGACTGAAATAATTTTAGACTCATCACTCAGCCAGAATCTACACCCACATCTCTCTAAATGAATCAATTAGCGGCCATTAGGGTGCTTTTCCTCTCATCTCATATCATCTTACTCAAAATTTCACCGTCTGATTTGATTATCCAACAGCAGTGGCGTGTCCCCCCGTCGCTGTTTTCGTATTTGTGCTGAGCTCCACATGAATATAAACAGATAAGCCACATGTAGACAGACATTCATGTGCGCGCATATTTAACAGGGACTGCATGTGATGAGCTACAGCCTCAGTGACACATGCCATGAAGCTGGCAGGGTGCAGCATCGCTGACAGCAAGGAACCTCCCATCGTTATTAATGGTGGGACCAATGAAGGCCGGAGACCCCATCAGAAAGGAGATACTGTGAAGTCACTGTGAACAAAAGGATCCTTCTTAAAATAAGACACAAGGAAAGAAATTAGCATAATTATTGTTGTTATGCGTCAAGGATCAACCTATATAAGAGTAGAAATTAAGAGAGTAATTGTTTAAATATCACAGCATAGCATATGAGTTAACTTAGTAAAAATATAGTTATGATATAATTCATAAAAATCTTTTCCATTTTGAGTTAATTAGAAAACAGTAACATGAACACTACAACTTTATTTTTGCAATAGCACTCGGTATTTATGAGCATTTTGTTTCTCTGCATTTGATCTTCCAAAGCATGTCTTTGTCTAAATATACACTCGATGAGTTTCCTTCCTCCCCCATTACAGACATGAGGTAATCACAGTAGCAACTTGTGTAAGTGACTCCCCTTGGCTTTCACCTCTTCCCGAACCCCAGGCCAAGTATTTGCACTGTGTGCAAGTGTGTACGTGAGTGTCTGGAGCTGCCATGAGTACAATTGGTGAATGAATGCACGTGCATGTCCCGTTTGTGTGTTTGAGATTGTGTTATAATTGGGAGGAGGAGCGTTAAGGAGGTCAGCAATGCTCGTCGCATTGTTTCACTACCAGCCATTCTGCACAAAATGAAATGGGGGGGCCCCATACCGCGGGGTGATGTATGCACTGTGAGGCCGGTGATGACACCCCCCTGTCTGCAGCCAGCCAATAGGTGTGAAGCTGAAACTACTTATAAGAACTTTCTCATTGGAAAGCTTTACATTAAGTCTCCATTATTGCAACCTATAAAGAAAATGACTATTCAGAATTTGAAAGAAAATATTTTTTAACAACACACAAAAGAAGTCAAAGATATTTTTTAAATCCACTGTGATTTCAAGGAGTGTGCTGTTACTTTACGTTAAAATCATATTAAATTTGGAATAAATAGATTACTTACAAATACGTTATCTGGATTTGCAGTATCTTTTGATTATGCTATGTGCTAGAAACCGTGATAACCTCAATTATAAAAACATACATGCATGGCTGTCTAAGCTTCCACAAAACATATCCATTTACACAGGTGGCACCACTTTCCTGCAAAAAAAAAGAAAATAGCACTCTTATATCTTCACATAGCATGTTTATTATCTTTTCTACTGCACACAGATTACATTTTTGCACAGACTTTTGAACGTTACTGCAACTTTACCGTGTTGCCAAAACATGCATAAGGAGGTGGATAAAGGAGTTACTATTGATCAGCTTCTGCACTGACAAACTAGACTGCTGCTTTCTGGGAAGAACAGTAACCACCAATAACCAACGAAGCAAAGATGGTGCTCAGAGGGTCATAGACAGTAAAGTCTGAACCTCTCTATAGCACTTTTACAAGACATAGGGATTTGTTGCCTTTACTGATCTTATGTTAATATGCACAGACATTAATAATACTCATTCTCAACCTTTTTTTTTTCAAAGTTTACACAGATTCTCAACTTTTTTTGTTTTTGTTTGTTAATGAAGCACAAATAATTTCAGAAAATGAATATGTTCATCCATCCATCCATCCATTTACACTGCTTATCCCACCACAGGGGCCGTACAGAGATAAACAATCACACACCTACACATTCACTCCTGCAGGCAATCCAGAGTAACTTAACATGCATGTTTTTGGACTTTGTCTCTGGAGAGAACACATGCAGGCACATACATTTTCATATCTACAAGTGGGCTGCACGTGGCTCTAATGCCGGCATGGAACGCAACCCTGTCCGACCCCTCTGTCTGCACCCTGCTCCCAGTTTATTTCTCTGTCACGATGTATCTCTAAGTCCTACACGGCTGATTCATGCTTTTTAAGCTGAGGGACATTTCCATTCAGGAATGAAAATATTGGATACCCAGTGTTGCATATATTAAACGTATGGTTCTGACATGGTTTGCATATGTTGATTAATCAAATCCACCACCAAGTGTAAGTTATTCAAACAGAATTACTCTGGCATTCCAAGCAAAGCCTCTACATGGGTCCAACTTGTGAAAGTTGTATTCAGTAAAGTGAGGAGTTGTCGTCAGCTGGAGTAGTTGATCCTCACCTGTCTCACTCCTCCTCTGCTGTGTGTGTGTGTGTGTGTGTGTGTGTGTGTGTGTGCGCTGTTCTTAACACTGTTTAGTGTTTCTTTTTCCACAGTGTGGCAAACACAGCACAGTCATAAAGTCTATTATTGGAGCAGATGAAACCCACAAGTGAGAAAGTGAGAGACAGAGAGCAGCACAACACTGGAAGGGAATCTGTCACTCGTCTGAAATGACAGAGGCAAAACGGAGAGCTTTACTCTCCAGTGCTGTGAATATTTGCATTGAACCAATGTCTCTTGATTGCTGGCTCGGACTATTCTGGATGTGAATGTCTTATTTAAGATTGTCACTTTTTTAAACGTTTTAGTCTTGGCCCATTGCCAATGCTGTCATTTCCACATAGCCCTGGGATCTGGTTTTATCATTGCACATTTGCAGCAAGGCTTCCTTTTTCCCACTTAAACTAAAGAGGTAGTGTCCATGCATTACGATTTAAGATTTAAGGAGCAAGGTTTTGATCTATTGAACAGCTTTGCCTAAGTGAGCAGTACCTGTGTGCTTACCAATCCCCAGCCTGCTCCCCAAGTGAGCAGAGCTCACTGAGTCCAGCTCTTGTGGTGTCCCAGGGGTTCCACTCCAGTTAGGGGATACTCTGGCCAAGCTTCTAGCCAGTTTCTGCATTTTGATAGTCACCTATTTTAGTTTGCTGTCTTCTGAAGTTGATGGCCATGTTTCCTCTGATTGGTAATGAGGCATGCAGCAAAACATGAAACTGAATACCTCAGATCCGGAGGGAAGGGTTCCTTGGAATTACCTCTGCACGTCTTGTCCCACCCCTACCTCGGGTTATCGTTTCATTCCTTGATCAAGTCTTTCCCATTTTAGCAGACGGAGTCGTCCAAAACCCAGGGTGGGAGCAACTGCAGAGGGATCAGTTCACAGCAGCAACACACATGGGTTATTAATCAGCGGCGGCTTCAAAGGTCTCTGAGTCCGATTTTACTGGGAACTTTAAGTTTTTTTCATTCTAGGTTGAGACTTTGGCGTCAGCATTTGCTGCACGGCCACCGACAGCAGACTGATCTGTTAGTTTCTGTAGTGCGTTCATACTGAACCAAGGCTCTGACAGGATATTTTTCAGAAATGTTACAGGGGATGTAATATACTCTCATCAGCCATAATCCAAAAGACACTAATAGATTAGAATAGGTTAGAGTTCGAAACACTTACAGGTCAACATTTTGTTTGAAAATACCCTCAACCTGACATTCACATGGATATTAGA